AGTGGGACGAGGTAAACCTCTATATCTGGGATTTGTTCTTCCAATTTATCATCATAGTTACCTCTATAACTGAAACAGCGAGTAAATTTTATATGCATAAACCTCTGTAACTGAGATAACATTGTTTGTTTACTCATTCTTATTCTACCCACAAATTCCACACGTAATTCCAAGTCCACCTCTATTAATGGAACCCTCTGTAAATGAGACAAATATTTATTTATACCTGTATATCTAAGACACTGGGTAAGTGGAATACCTCTATAAGTGGAACGACATTGCAGGTCCCTTGATGTCTCAATTAACCAGGTTTCACTGTATTTAAAAATGAATCCCTTTTTCCCTTGGTCACGGCATCACGCGTGAATGGCTGAACCGATTTCACTAATCCTTTTTTTGTTGTATTCGTTATTATTAGGAGATGGTTTTTAAGACACAAAGAATCCTGTAAATCCTACGGGAACGGGAGAAAACGGGAACGAGCAGAAGCTGATGTATAATAAATGTAAATGGAAAAATAGACAAATAGCTATACAAAACATTAAAGAAAGTTATGTACTCTATTATAATTATGTAGACAGGTGTAATATGTGTGTGTCTCCAAAACTTGTTATCAATAAGTGCAAACGTTTTTTTGCTTACTAGAAGACACGTAAGAGCTGGCGCTGATATCTCAGCTGTAAGATCTTTTTATCCCCTAGAGTATTTGCTAGGGTCCAACTATCAAACATTCATTTTTTGACATTGAACAAACATATCTTACTGCTACACTAAAGAATTTCGTGTTCACACACAATGGTCGTCACTACACACTTAAGATACATGACAAAACAACCAAAACTAAACCCTATTCCCTTACAATAAAACATAAATTCCACCACTCACCTTAATTCATCATTACTAAGGCCGGCTCTGTACCTATAAGGATAGAACCGATGTGCTAGAGGCTGGTTGTGTTGCGTGTTGGTGGCGGAGTAGTCCCCCATGTCTAGTTGCGCCATCAAGGCGCCCAGTTCTGCAGCTAACTCCCGAGTGACTGGGAAACGACCTGCTACCACTGGAACAAATGTTTATGGAGTTAGTATTACTCTGCTATCAGATGGAAATTTTGTCCTGAAATATAATTACCCGGCTGCTTCGTTGGCCGAGTGGTCGCAAGGGCGACTGCCGGTCAAGGGGTCTCGGGTTCGATTCCCGGGTCGGGCAAAGTACTACTGGGTTTTTATAAATTCTCAGTAGTAGCACGAAGTCTGGAATTGTGCCCGGTATATGGCAATAGGCTCACCCCCTATTACATGGGACTCATAACATAAATAGTGAAAAGTGGGTGCTACATTGTACAGTGGCATAATGTGGACCTCTGCCTACCCCTTCGGGGATAAAAGGCGTGATGTTATGTTATGTGTTATGTTATATAATTACCCAATCTGACTCAACTGCATGGTTGGTGCGGTAGATATGATACAGGAGAAAACCCTATAGTAGGGCAACGTTTAAAGAAATTCCCAAATCTCCAATCCTCAAATCTGTAACCCGTATATCCACAGGTGGCGTCAATTGCTTACCATCAGGTGATCGTTCTGCTTGTATACCGGTGCTATCTCACAAAAAAGCAGGCACTTAAAGATTAACTATTTCTCGGCATATGTGTGGACGTCATTATTCTGATGAGAATAAAGTTCTTTAATCATGACTTACCTTGTTGATTAACCTGGTAGCATTGTAGTAACCGCTCCTTGTCAGTCTCTGTCCGTATGGAGTTCTTGAAGTAGAGCCTATTCCTGTACGTAAGTCGAATCACTCGAGAGTTCTCGAACTTTCCGGAGCCCTTCTCTCTAAGCGCTGTCTCCCATTTTGATATTACGTCGCAGAGCTGGAAAGATGGAAATTAAAATTGTTAGCTTAAGATTATGTGGCCGATTGTCCCAAAGGGTAACGTGTACAATGTAACACCATATTTGGTGTTACAGTCGTTCATGGGCGGCGCCAGTTGCTTATCATCACCATCAGGGAATACGTCTGCTCGTTTACCGGCTTATTCCATAAAAAAAAATATGAATATTAAAATCAAATGCCAAGAATCTAACACAGAACTTCTTGCTAAACCAACGACCCTTCAACATAAACAAGGTCACTAAAATCATATTTTTTATATTAACTATCATGAGACATACTAAATAAACTAAGAATCGCGAGTTACTCACGTATAAATACCGAAAAAAGAGTAGGCTGCGCGTCATCGCCGCGACCGCGCCCGCTGCTCATAAGGAAGAACCCCTCTGTGGTTCGAAACCAGCAGAGCTTTTCTCAGTATTTTCACGTGAGTAACTCGCGATGGCAGTGGATGCAAGTGGCAAATTGTCGTTCGACGTGGAAGGCTAAGGGAGAGACCTTGGTCCAGCAGTGGACGTCTTTCGGCTGTTGATGATGATTCACCCGCAATCTTTAGTTAAAAACATAATTATTATTATCACACACATACCTTCTTATCAGGCTTAATATGATGTTCCAAGTCCTTCTCAATAGGGTCGTCGCTGAACAGCGCGAATCCTGACGCCGCTGACTCCCTGCATCCAAGTTCTGTACTTAATGTAGACAGGAACTCTTCTACAGTCGTCGAACCGTCGAAACTTATTACCTGCGGATAAATATATTTGTGAAACAAAAAATATGATACATGAATGAAATAACTTAGACTATGGGTCATAGTTACGTACACACGGCTACATATTGAGCTTTACATAACCAGTATAAACTGAACGTTAAATGTGCGAAAATATGATGCGACGCGACACCAGGATAAACTGGTTTTGTATAGGTTGATGTGTGGCCGTGTGTACATAGTTTTGGAAGTCAACAAGACTAAACGAAAAATCACTAAAATCCGATGCTCCCTTATTAAAGAGAAGACACAGCAAAAATATTTTCAAAATAATTACGGACGCAAAATTAGTATTACTTACGGACGCTAAATTTATCTTGGTCGTATTAAATTGACTGAGAACAGAATTCAAAATAATATCTCTGATTTAAAAGCAAAGTATCAATAACGCATTTTGGAACCCCAAATAAGGAGCCAAAGACAATCGTTCCGTCTTTAGCAAATGTTTCTTTCACTGTTAGATTTATTATAATAGATAGGGACGTACCTGGTAAGTATTATTGAGCATATGGACAGGAATGGCGTGAGGCAGGCAGTGGTGGTAGGGGTTCTTCAGTAATATGGACAGCACCTCCATGCGGGACGGCTTGTCTTCGCGTCCACCGTTGCGGATGGTACGTTCCAACGCACGCGCACAGTACGCCGCGTATTTACCGCACTCCGTTCTAGGAAAAAATGGATTTAATGGTAATTAACTATTTACTCTTGGATTCCTTTACGTACCTTTCTTTACGTTAGAGGGTTTTAATTCTCTCTCTTCATCTACTTTTAAATTATAATCATGTTTGGTTAAAAGGTACCGTGAACTTAAATCCAAATAGGTTAAATATTTTACGTAATGGCAATTATACAGAGTGTTCGGTTTACCGAACGTCCCCGAAAAACGCCGACAGGTAATGGTCAAAAACAAGTATTATTTTCACAAAAGTAAGGAATTAAATGTTTGATTTATGTAATAATGTAATCATCTGATCAAGGCTGATCTCGCATTAACACGTAAACAAAAACGGTTAAAATTGTATTTAAGCTTTTTTTGTCAGCGTTTTTTTGGAGCGTTCTGTTTACATCCTGTATTTCAATTGTCTAATTGTTGTTTTAATACTACCATGTGAAAAAAATAGCATAAATGAATAAGGGCAAATAAATGTAATTTAAAATAGATAGTAGTTTTATTGGCACCTATTTCATTTACACCAAAACATCATGATTAATTTTAACACTTATAAAATTCACAATCAAATTAACATATAAAAATAACACTTACTTGGAATCCGCATGCCTACTCAAATGTAGCTTCAGATACCAGAGTAGCCTGTTATTTCGTGGTACGAATAGACTGACGGCCAATGCAAGGAGTTGCCACCCTTGTACAAAGCTATACGTTGGAGGGTTGCTCTTGCAGTCCACTGACAACAACGGCGCCTGGAAACATTCCTTGGATGGTAGAAAACGATAAAAAATTGTTAAAATCATGTACTTTTCGTACAATTTTTCGGAGAGACGGGTAGATGCGACTTGATGTAAGTATATAAAACAAGTTTTAAACCTAGAGACAAGTTGTAAGTACTTGTATTACAAAATTTTTACTGTTATCGGACGGATCACCTGATGGTAAGCAATTTTCGCCGCCTATGGACACCCGAAACACAAACATGCATCAAGGCACATGATAGGAACCAATTAAAGGTATTTCAAGTCACATCTAACCGTACAAGTTAGTTACGTTAAGGGGGCCAAACTATTAAACTGTACGGACAGTTTCTCCGCTACGAAATTTTACTGTTTTTGTGAAAATTCGTAACTTTGTGGTGCATTTCAAAAGTTGAAATCTTCGCAATATTTGCTGATTATTAATACGTTTATACGTTACAGTACTAATGCACTAAGAATTACTGTAAACTCTCGCAACGAAAGAAGGTCCGTACAGTGTTACATTTAATGGAAACATGTTATTAACAAATCACAAATAGACAATTCGAGTAATTGACTGAACTTCAACCTTTATACCTTTAGACTTACGGTTTCTTTTACATTGCTTTTCTCATATGATCCCCTAGCTAAAAAGACAAATACAGGACATACACGTCTACTGATTGTGAACATTATTATTGGCTTCAAGAAGGTTTCATTATATTTAATTAATGTACCATTTATTACATTCTACTTTAGTTCACACAATTTAGTTTTAACACGCAAATATTTACCATTAAATTCAAACTCGTATTACTTATTGAATAGTAATGTAGTATTAAACTCGTCATAGGTCGAGGAAAGACAGACCAATAACTATAATTTCATACAGGAATTCAGACTCAACTTTATTCAAAATCAGTACACTTTTAAATAACATAAAACTTGTTGTTAAATAACCCCTACATATATCTATTCAAAAAGAGTATGATCTTAAACAGTTTAGTGACCAAAAGACATTTTATTATTATTAGGCTCTAAATTCTTCTACATAAAGTACATTCTTAAATAACCCTACGTGTACCGCGTTCCTAGTCATCGTTTACCTGTATAGAGCTAGGTGAGCCGGCGGCATGCGTCGGGACGTCGCTCTTGCTGTCCGAGCCCACCGAGGCGGCGCCAGTGTCGCACGTGAACAGCGACTGAGTCGCGCACAGTAGCAGTTGCTGAACAAATGAAATGTTGGCGATTGTTGGACCAAATACTTGGCGAGACTAACTGCTTGGAAGTGTGCACTTTATGTAGTACAGAATAAGTTTGCTTTTTGAAAGACTGTGTTTGGTTTTTGGGGGACTCTGTGTTTTGGGGAGTGATATAAGTACAGGTTGTGTCAGTGATGTGTGTTATAAACAGTACGTACATATTATGTATAAGTTACATAAATACGAACATTTTAATTATTACATACAGATACTAAATATATCCTTGTTCTATTCAATTCATTACTATAATGTTACTTACAAATATACATGTAGGTACAACAATTGAATAATGAGTTTTCATTAATAAAGTTGGAAAACATAGAAAGCTGGTATTATTAACCCATAAACAATAAGTAAAGGCACTGCTGTGAATTGACACATAGGTACAAAGGCCTCATAAATAAACGGTAAAAAATATATAATAATATATTTGTGCACGACTGCCTACCCACTTCAGAGAAGAAAATTATATATTACAAACGGTTGATTGCATCAACAATGATTGTCGAAATTTTTGGCAATTGTTATGCCAAAGGATTCTTTCTGCAATTTTAGTCCTTAAGAACATAATAAGTTATCTTAAAGTTAGTGCGAGTGCTTTATGCCATTGCATTGTGCCTTTAAGTACCAATATCCCATGAAACTATTTTTCCCGCTATATGTATGTACAGTAGTTATAGTTTTGTGATTTAAATGTACAGTGTGTTTCAAATTATTGCATAATATGCCTTGCAAATAAATATTTTAATATTAATTTTAAAAATCAGATTGAGATAAGTAACTTCGTAATTTTTTAAATTACATGTTATTCGTGTTAGAATTCATTATTTTATACACTTTTAATTTTGAATTACAGATTAAATATACAGAGACTTTAGATAAATGAGTCCAAAGTACTAGTAGTGTACATTTTAGTTACATTAATCGACAAAATACTGTTGTTTACAATACTGTGTTTTGCACAAAATTTTTACTCAAAACAGATCAACGCAGTCGGAAAAGTTAAAAAATCGTCTGCAAGACTAAAAAAGAATTCAAGAGTACTTTATAAGAACGACGAAATTAAGAAGAGGCATATTATGCAATTTCATTAAAAATACTTAATCCTACTTACTCCTAAATACTTACCAAAACTATATATGTGTACTATATTATATAAATATATAAAGGGCTATAATTTAACAGTCTAAAACTTGCAACATCAACCTTTCAATACAAAGGAGATCGAACAGTGCGAAGGGTAACACTAGCTATGACAGAGTATGAATGACAGATAAACGAAAAAAAAAAACATTCCCTAAATCTATGGGGCCAAGGGAGAAACATTCTTGGAAGAAAAAAAAAGAAAATCGGGGAAAAATTTACACCAACATTCCATTTGAAATTTTGCAACGTAACATTTTATTTTAGGTACTGGCAACATCTTTCCTTTTCAAAATTAGAATGCGCCGTTTGAAAATGTTGCCAGAACTATCGGATCAAGTTGGAATAGAAACTTTTCGTTTTATTCCTTGTTAGTAATTTTGTCGTTATATGCTTATTAGCATATTTAATACGGTATTCTAATGAAGCCAATATAATTGTATACACAGTACAATTCCAAATTGATCAACCACGTGACGAAGCCTTCAGTACAGCGACACACAAAGCCCATACTATAATAATGGTTTGTTAGTGTATATTTACAGTTTTACGCAAATGAAATAATAGTTTTGAAGCTTTGTAGAAAATATATTGTGCTCTTTTCAATACAAGCATTAAAAAAGACAATTTTGTCTTTGCTTGCAAATAGAAAAAAAGGTGCCGAGTGAAGTCACATGTAAAAGACCCACAGATAGTAAAAACATGGTTCTTTTACAAAAAAAAACTACATTTTTACATACAAATGTGTTTTTACCTCATAAATAGTTAGCAGAGCACAATATTCTAGAACAATCTACATACAAGTATAGTATATTAAAGCGAGAAGTCCTATATTTTATAATTACTGTATAAGTATTGTATAATGATGATTACATATGAGAAAAGCATCAAAGCGTTTGCCCGTAAGCTAAGCCGTTGCGAGTATAAAGCTGTATGTATAGTATACCTACCATTTTTTCGTACTGGAATTCATTTTGACATTTAGTTCAATGATGGCGGCTTTCAAATGACAGATGAAGCTGTCTTATTTGATAGTTTCGATCAGGGCGAATGTATCAAGTAAAAAAATTAAATGTGAATAAATATTAAAAACATTTATTTATTCCTATTAAACTGTCAAATACCAAGCGGTCACCGGTGACCGCAACCTATTGTTCTATAATTGTGTCTGCAAAACCGGTACTCGACGAGTTAAATACTGTTGGAAAAAATAAATATAATGGATTTTTACAGGTCATATTCTCAATAGCCACGTAATGAAATGTAGAAATTAACATCAAAATCTTTTACTACAATCTAATTCGTTCTATATTCAATTTTGTAATTAAAAAATAAATGACAACATGATGAATAAATGTCAAAATGAACGCCAATACTCTTTGTATTTAAAGACTAGTATTCAAGTAATATATTTTGTACCTAGCCTAGCCGTAACACCTAAAGCCATGCTTATATCAGTTATTTCAATAGGAGTAATAATTTTCATTATTAGTAATGAAAACTATTACAGCAAAACCAAAAATAAGAACTGTTTGGTGTACTCCTTTGTTTGTATAAAATTATAATAAAGAAAAATAGTTTTTAATAAAGTTTTATTTATTTATATTATATTAAATTACTAACAATAGGTTAAGATCATTGTTACTAACAGTTTATGGACTGTTGGTCTAAAATAAATTATTAATAATGATTATGACGATTCATAATATTATAATAATTTTAGAGTAAGTAACTAATGCCGGAATACTGAAACGTTACTCAATTTTAAGTCGTGCTCAAATATCGTGTCATCTTTGTCATTTTACAAAGAATTTGTAGAGATAGAACTATGCTTAAGCACGACTTAAAATTGAGTAGCGTTTCAGTATTCCGACATAAGAGCACACAAAACATAGAAGAATTGAAAACAACAATTGAATTTTTATTTGAAAACAAACAAAACTGATGCAATATTTTATATTGTGAAGATTTTCATAATAAAATGGTAAATACGATAAGTCCCTATGATATATTTTTTATTTTATTGCTTTTCGAAAACAATGTTTAAAATTCAATTGTTGTTAATGAAAAGGCAAAATTCAAACAGACGGATATTAGAAGTATCTGTAATGAATTTACCATCACTTTATTGGTCTACAGGTTGACTTTGAACCTAAAGAACATTTACTTAAGTCACATTGCTTGTATTCCACGGAATCACAGGAAAATACAAGTACTTTTTGTACAATGTATTTGTTATTTAGTGAAAGAAAGAAAGAAAGAAAGAAAAAGTTTAGTCAAGTCTTCCTTAGTACTATAGTCAGAATTTTAATTAGATTCCAGATTTGACATTAGCTACTGTCATTTTGTGAAATAATGATACCACATATAATAGTGTAGTGATAAACACAAAAATCATAATAGTGTAGTGATAAACACAAAAATCGATAAACTATCAGTGTGTGTGTTTTATAATAAATGTTACAGAAAGTGACAGGATAGCGATAGCGATGACGGCGACAATTTATAAAACAAATTATTACCATAAACATCTGTCATCTGTTTTATTTGTCATGTTCCTTCATGATTACATTTTTTTATTTATTTCACACACAATTATAAAGAAAGGTCTCAGATCGTTAATTAATCGTCAAAATTAAATTATCGGTTCAGAAATATTTAATTATACTTAGTTTACTAGAGTAAAATTATAAACGAGAAGAATCGATCCAGAAATATTCCATTTCCATATCGAATAATTTTACAACGTCACTATTTACTACTTGTCATAACGTTGCAACACTGAAATTGTCAAATCTGGAATCGAATTAAAATTCCGAGTATAGTACAGGATTGATTTAACTCTGACATGTAGCTGTGTATTTCAAAGCATTTTGATACTAAACTTTAATAAGGTTTAACTTTACGACCTTGATGAATACTGAAATAGTCTGAAAGTAGTCACATTGATCATGTATCATAAGTAACGTAGCCTTGAAGGCGAAAATTATAACTGTTTTAGGTAGTATTTTATTTTACCAACCTCATTTAAATTCGTTTTTCTTACTCAAAACAACATACTTAATGTCCAATTACTCAAACGCCATTGTATTTTAAAACGCGCTTAAGTATACTTCTGTCAGCACAAATTCTTTGTAAAATGGCACAATATTTAAGTACAACATAAATTTGAGTAGCCTATTCGGACGTAACCAAATCAAACTGTAGACCAAATGATTAGCAAAAACCGAGTATAAGTGAGCAACTTACATTCTTAAGCTTGGTGGGCTTAACGTGTATGCGGGCGCGGCGGGCGGGCGTTACCTGTACGCCGAGCTTGGTGTTGGTGTGCGGCGTGGTCTGGCGCGCCAGCACCGACGCCAGCTCGTCCTGCAGCTCGCCCACGTCCAGGCACTGCGCCAGCGCGTTCTGCGCCAGCACCACGTGGTAGTCGATGCCCGCCTGCTCCACCGCCACCGACATGAACAGCTGCACGCACTGCGACCGATCAGGACACATTTATTTATTATTATTATGTCAACACGGCTTTACACCAATTACATTAACACACACACAAAGAGAAATTGAAGACAATCAAACAGTTACAATACCAGTAAAATAAAAAAAAACAGATAAATAAACATCACATTTAAAAAAACGATTAAAAATGACATGACATTCACATACATCATCATCATATCAGCCATTTTTTTAAGAGGGGTACATCAACGAATGACTGCTCCCGCCTGGGTGAGGCGGGAGGGAGTGTCAGACTCTTACTGAGTAAAAACCACCCCGTTCCTTCTCCTGCACGTCGAGCCGGAGCCCCAGTAACCCATTAGGTTCTCCGCGACATCAAATCAGCCATTTTTTTTAAGGGGGGAAAATCATCGAATGGTTGCTCCCGCCTAGGTGAGGCGGGAGGGAGTGTCAGACTCTTACTGACTACAAACCACCCCGTTCCATTCCAGCCCCGGTTACCCGTTAGGTTCTCCGCGACTCCGAATATCAAATCAGCCATAGGACGTCCATTGCTGAACATAGGCCTCCCCCAATGACTTTCAGATGGACCGGTTGGAACGACCTGTATCCAGCGGCTACCTGCGACCTTAATCAGGTCGTCTGTCCACCTTGACGTCCTACGCTGCGCTTGCCGGTACGTGGCTTCCACTCGAGAACCTGTCTGCCCCAGCGGCCGTCGGGTCACTGCCACTTCAACTTGCTAATGCGCTGGGCTATGTCGGCGACCTTTGTTCGTTTGCGGATTTACTCGTTTATTATCCGATCTCGCAAAGAAACTCAGAGCATAGCCCTTTTCATAGCGCGCTGAGCGACCTTGAGCTTATTTATAAGGCCTTCAGTGAGAGACTACGTTTCAGGTCCATAGTTCATCACTGGTAACACACACTGATTATAGACTTTCGTCTTGAGGCACTGAGGTATGTTGGACGACAAGATGTTGCGTAGTTTCCCGAACGCTGCCCGTCCAAGTTGTATTAAACGATTGACCTCCTTCTCAAAATTGGACTTACCTAGCTGGATTTCTTGTCCCAGGTATACATATTCGTTAACCATTTCGAGATCCCAACTGATATCGGGTAGGGCGTAACATGGGCGTTTGAAATGACTTTCGTCTTGTCCATGTTTATTCGTAGCCCTGCCTGTTGAGAAACTCTACAGAGGTCATCGAGTCATCGAGGTCATTGCTCAAATCTTCAATCGATTCTACCATGACCACAATGTCGTTGGCAAACCGGAGGTGAGTGATGTACTCTCGCCGTTGATGTCAGATCCGTTCTATTCCAAAAGCTTGAAGGTGTCTTTTAATGCAGCGGTAAATAGATATATGGAGATATGATGACTCCTTGCCTTACTGTTTAAAACGGGTTGGTCAAAATCTTCTTAAATTTGTCTAAAATCTTGGTACGCCGCCTTTTGTCCCCGTGGGGTCTTCTGAGATGCGCATTACAGCACTTAATGCTACTGTACAGTGTGGCACCAATTTTTCACTATTTATGTTGCGAATGCCATGTAATAGGTGGGCCCTATTACATGGGACTTGCCGAGACCCCTTGCGATTTATTTGACACATACAGCTTTTGATAATATGAAATCAACATAACTTCTACTAAACATTCCTTACCTTGAATAGTTTTAATGCTTCTGCCTGCAACGCTTCAGAGTTGAGTGAAGTCAGTGGAGACGTCAAGTTCTCTTTAGAATACAGTAACGTTGGATGCCTCCACAGAACACAATCTGGAATATAACAAGTACATCTATGTTATACATTGTTATATTTAGCTCTACATTTCATAAATGACGGCTTAATCTTCATTAGTGGACATCAAGTGAGATATACTGCATAAAATTCAACTAAACAATTACTCCCCCCCCTAATCTCCCCAATCCCCGAATCCCCAACAATTGTCAAATTCCTAATCCCCAAAAGGCCGGTATCGCACTTGTAACGCCTCAGATGTTTCATGTGTCCATGGGCGACTCCGATTGCTTACCATCAGGTGATACCTGATACCATCATCTGCATGTAGGTAAACAGAAGGATAGACAGAGATGCACAAAAATACAAGTTTCAATGTAATCTTTCTTAATCTCATATACAAAATTTTACTTTCAACAATAACAAATATTTGAACAATACTTACTAGGATCCCCATCGGTCTCCATAAGCTTCTGTATGAGTTGTTCGAAGTGTGTTCCCTGACTCAGTCCTCCACCGCTGACCACCGTCAGATGGTACAACCACGAGTCCTTGTCCGCTTTACTCTCGAACAGAAGGTATGTTGGACCCTGTGAGAGGAGGAACAGATCACTAGTATTTATGTTGCTGTAGAAATAGGGATTTTTGTGAACTGGGCTGATATAAAATTTGATCGCAATTATATTTAATAGAGGAGTTTCAAGGTATTTCTTATTGTAGTAGAGAAAATTTGATACATTACATTTGATTTTACTAAATTAAATTTGTATTATTAAATTATTAAGCAAACACACAGAGTCTTGTCACAATCACACAAGTATAGTTTATAAACCATGAGCCGATTTTAAAGTCTTAACAATTAGTTAGGTAATTAAGAAATCAACACACCCACGGCGACTTATGACAGCGATTCAGTAATACAATAAAAGACAGTTAAATACAGCAATAAAAAAATCATTACATCGCAGCCACATTCGCCGTGAGCGCCATCTACATCTAAGACCGATCACTACACCAATATATTACATGAATTTGTCACTGACCCCAGTTACCTGGTGTTGCGGATAGATGGCGACGGTGAGATGGTTGCGAGTGTCGTCGTTTTTCTCTTCAGAGTCGGAGTCTGATACGTGTTCCACGTCTTCCACTCGCGCGTCTCTCATGTTGATCTGGCCGGTAGGGTTCTGTGAAGCAAATTGGTCGTTTTAGAGGAATTCTATTTGGTGACAAATATCAATTTATTGTCAACGATATTTTTTTTATGGACTTGCTTTGGACAAATTGCAGGAACTTGATTTGCAAATATATTACAGATTATAGTGATGTGCTACTAATTATTTTGCAAGAACCAAACTGATTTGATGCAAACTGTTGCGGACACGTCTGAATAAATGCTTTGTTCAGTGTGCCGTCCAAACCGTTCTATTAGATTATTATACTTCAATGAACTAGGAACCTATATAGAGATTTTTTTATTTAGTGGAAATATTAACAATGTATCCGAGAACATCTTGCCTTCTGGTGGAGTAAGCAGAGAGAACAGATAGAACAAAAAAAAAACTGAATACCTATAACAATAAACAGCGGTTTAATGTTATCAAACCGATTGACACATTTTTCCCAAAAAAAAAAATTAAAAATTTGTCACATACATTCGCTTATATTCATCCAAAACAAAATGTCTAAAGGGCCAAATAAAAAAATAAAATAAAAGTACCCTTAACCGACGAGCATACATGAAAAGACTGATGACTATCGATGCATCGTAAGAATGATAGCAATTGGCGTTCCATAGTCGCTGCGTATCCCCATGGGCGACAGGCGTGAAGTTATGTATGTATGTACAAACTGTCTACTAAAATCTACCACGTACCTGGTCTCCAGGAGACTTGAAGTACAGGAACATCTTCCCAATAAGCACACACCAGCTCTTCTTAGCGTGTCCATTCTTGACCTTCGTGAGCCACCCCTGGATCGTAGGCTTATTGTCTTCTTTACTCAGGAGAAGTTTCGTCGCATTCCTTCTTTGTACATTCTAGAATAATACGAAGTGGTTACTTCCAGTCAAAGCTATTTTACAGGTCTAATTGGGATGATGGGTATGAAAATTAAAAACGTAATTAGTCCGTAAGTTAGGTAATGAAAAATATTAGACACGTATTTTTTTATTTTATTGTATAATAAAATAACACTTGATATAACGAATCACAGTTTAGGAGTGGGGGCTAAAACGTCATTTCTACGTATAAAATGTACGTAGAAATGATGTCACGCGACAGTCGAAAGAAAATAAAAAATACGTGTCTAATGATTTAAAATAATCTACCAGACGGACATTAAAATAAAAATTAGTCATCTACACTATTGTACGTTAAATGAACGATGTTACTGATTGAAGTTTTAATTTAAAATAGGGTAAAGTAATAATCATTACCAGCCTATAAGTGGCCACTGCTGACCAAAGGCCTCTTCTAGCACGGATAATGTTTCAGCATTAATCACCACGCCTGCTCAATGTGGGTGGCGATTTCAAGCTTATAATTAGAAATTATAAGCTAATCCTAACGATGTGTTCCTTCACATAATCTTAGAAAGTACATATAACTCGGAAAAAGTCACATTGGTATTTGCCGTCGTTGGTAGGTTTCGAACCCGCATTCTCATGCATGAGAAGCGGGCGTCTTAAACCTCTTGGCCACCACGGCATTTTTTATAAAACACTAAAGTAATAATAATACAGAATATTATGATCTACTTTCGCATGTAGCCAAAAACGATATTGTACGCCTCGTGGCTTGTGCATAGAGAAAGTATAATTCGAATTGTCAGCTTACAACACTGAAGATATTTAACTCGTCGAGTACCGTCATTATAGACACAATTATAGAACAATAGGTTGCGGTCACCGGTGACCGCTTGGTGTTTGACAGTTTAAAAATTAAGTTAATATTACAAGTAGGACGTCTACACTCTAATTAATAATATGTTTGACCTTCAACGTGCCATCTAGATAAGGGAACTAATCAGTTAGAGTAACAGGTTAAATTGATCAAACTCGAAATAAATTTCAATTTTGGTCAATAAATCAAGCAGCAATTTAGTGTCACTTAATCGTAACCAAATTTCAATAATGATTGTGGACATGAAGCAAAGAATGATTTTAGAAAAAAAATCAGTTCAATATTTCAATTATTCATGTCATTTTCAGTTTTTTTTTTATGGCATAAGCCGGTAAGCAAGCAGACGAATCACCTGATGGAAAGCAATTGGCGTCGCCCATGGACACCTGGAACACCAGAGGCGTTACAAGTGCGTTACCGGCCATTTGGGGATTAGGAGTTTGAGGATCGTTGGGGATCCAGGGATTGGGGAAATTGGGGAAGGGGAGGGTAATTGGGCCTCCGGTAACCTCACTCACACGACGAAACACAACGCAAGCGTTGCTTCACGTCAGCTGTCTGTGAGGCCGTGGTATCACTCCGGTCCAGCCGGCCCTTTCGTGCCGAAGCATGGCTCTCCCACACTTATAAGTTGCATCGGTAAAAGTCATTAGTTATTCTCATTTCACAGTTTACCGATTAGAATTACACGGTAAAGAATAACTTTATATGGCATCATTTTAAGACATGTTGCAGACAACGTATACGGTTTTGACTGACAATAGAAAACTGTTGAAGGCAAATCTTCCGCTAACGTCTGTCCCCGGTGACCCCATGGCGTTTAATGAGTTAATTATTTTGTAAATAGATAAAAGTAAAAATAATAATGAAAAATGATTTAAATTAAAAAAAAATGCTGGTTTTATTTTTCCACACCGTAGTCGGTAATCAAAACTTAATGGCCACAATAATAATGTTATGGGAATTAATGGCTGAACCTTATAATTACAAATTATAAGCCCAGGTTTTCTCACAATGTTTTCCTTCACCATTTGTCACTGGTGTCTAAATAATGTTAGAAAGTACATAACTCGGGAAAAGGCACATTGGTACTATACCCACTTAGGTACCCGCACTTTTATGCAAAAAGGATCACCCGATGTTAAGCGATCAACGCCAACAGTTGACAGCGTAACACAAATATGCAGTCAGCTATTTAATCTTCTTGTTTTAAGTCTTAAATAAATTATTATATTAATTTACACACCTGTAATACTCTGATCCAGTCCTCCATAGTAGCGATGCTGTCAGCCGTCAAGTAATATGTTCTACTGCCAGTGAAGATCTCAAATGTAGCCGCTCCCTCATTCCTGGATATCTTGCAGGCTTCACCGAGACCGATTTGACCTTGAGGCTTTCTATTCACCTCTGACTGCGACTTCCAGTAAGAAAGAGTTCCATTTTTGAGTACGAACCTGTTTGTTGAAAAAAAAATATCGCTTAAGTATGAAGTCGGAGTTAAATAGGTGTTCACTTTAGATATTCTAAATTTAAATTAATGTATACATAATGTATATATATGTATAAGCTTACAAGTAAATTAATAGGCCTATATTATAATAGGATTATAATAACTATAAAAAATCTACCTACAAAACAAGTTTTACACAAAATTATTCATTAAAACCTTAATAAATACCTAACATTATTAATCTGTTTACAATTTTATTATGGATTATACCTTTGACAATTACCTAAGATACATTTTGTAGCACAAACATAATGTAGCTACTGTTAAACGTTGAGGAGATCCCTCGACTGCCTCTCGGCTTCATCATCAGATCGACTCCAGATCTTAATCAGATTGTAGTGGTTTTAAATACTTAACGAAAAAATTTACAATTGCACTAGTCACCCCTATATTTTTTATAGTCTCTTTCGGTTCCCCTGGGATTCTCCATCATCAGATCCTGACTTCATGACAATGGGACCAAATGACAAGCGTACCCTTTAAACAAAACAAGAGTTTTTGAGTTCAGTCCAGGCATCTTCGAGTAATCGAGTAATAAACATAAAAAATACAGTCATACAGTGGAATTGAAAACCTCCTTCTTTATTTGAAGTCGGTTGATGAATTGCTGTTTGTTAGTCTCACTAACTCGAAAACGGCTGGACCGATTTGGTTATTTAGTTTTTGATTTTTTTGTTGAATTCCAAGGAAGGTTTATAAGATGAGAAAATGATATTGGAGGCTGTACGAAGTTTGCCGGCTCAGCTAGTAAAATTATAAAATGGGCGACAATTGAAAAAGAAAACATGTTAAGTGAGCCTAGATCCGCTGGAGCGTTATGATTCTCAAGCATGAGGGTATTCAATAAACACTTTATACGTGTCCCTTTTTGATCGGTGGGGCGGTTCAGGTTAAAGACCTACTCTCAATATTTTCAAAGGCCAATAATTGATATTCAATTAATCACCACTTACCATCGTTTCCTCCAAGTTTTGAGTTTGCCCCCTAACTTGGCAAGATGTCCGCTCTTCTCCAAGGCATCATGTCGTCGCGGCGAGTCGGTGGTAGGCGGCGCTCGACATAAGGACGCCAACGACGGTGACGCTGTACTGTCACACGACACCGCGTCTGGTGGTATCGCGTAGTCATCCGACATTCCCGACTCGAATGATGTGTCTGGAATAGGAAGAATATTCTAGAATCTTGTTAGATTGCTGAGCGTTTTAAAAAACTGCATCAAATCCGATTTAGCTGTTCGTGTGCGGTGGTGATGCAAAAATACTTATTGACGTCAAATCTTAGCCATTAACATAAAATGTTCACCATCCATTAAAGTTACGAAATATAACATCACGTTTTTAACTCTGAAAGGATAAGCAGAGGTGCACATTATACCTGTGCACCAGGTGCACCATTTATAACAATAAGTTTCAGTCTAAGTTACGTATGTAAAATTAATATGAAACATTTTTTTATAAAGGTCACAAAAAATAGAAAATAAGTACCGTACCTAAGTTGTTAATGTTAATCTTTAGTCACTCTTTAACAAGATTAAAATCGGAAGATTTCTCGTTAATATTTTGATCACTTATCTTCATAAGCAATAAAATCAATGAAGACATACAAACTCACGTCACTTCGACACAACCATTGCCTAAGTTTATCCGTATAAGACATCAGAAGGATGTTTTTATATCAATGACAATGGAATATAATAATCGCACGATATGTATTGTTATCATGTCATCACAGGTTTAAAATGTAGGTGACGGGTCCGTTTCAAATTATAAACAATGTTTTTACAAAGTTAAAACAGGTTATCTTTACTTTAGAAGCGTATTTCAAAATAAGGCGGGAGGATTAACTAGAACGAGTTTCCACCCTTACAAAATAAATGGTTCGAAATTGGAAAATACCAAAGTGACAATTTTTGTCATTGGATTTTTAACTTTATACTCAAACGATAGAATTGAAAAATAAAGAAATTTTACAGTAAAACGTAAGTTATTTCCAAGTTATAGGTATGTAGTTACTTCTATGTTTAATTAGTTATACGGGAAAAAAAACATCGTGAGGAAATCTAGACTCAGAATTTTTCATTCCAACCGATGCTCATTTCTTCTCTAATAAGGCTATTACTGAGTATTGTGACGCTTACAGGCTGATGTTAATGATGATTTATACATAATACTTGAGATTTTTTAAGAATAGGTAGGTATAAAAACTTATAGGTAGGTTTTTTTTGATGGGGCAAAATCATCCAACGGCTTTTCCCGCTCGAGTAAGGCGGAAGGAAGGATCAGACTGTTACTAAAAAGCAACCCGTTTCTACTACTGCTGTTCAAGCTGATGTTCCGGCATCCCGTAACTCCTCCGCGGTTCCGTATCGGATATCAGTCATACTGAGCCCCATCTGTGGTGGTCTGATGGCTCTTTGAGGCGTATCTCGGGTTACATATACGTAGGTACATAATACCACCAAAGATATGTCCAGAATGGTTACAAAATAGAACCTACGCAGAATATAAGAAGCTTACGAACATAAAACAAATAATAAGCAGATTAGCGAATCTTCGTCTGCTGTTTTTGTGATAATTACTCAACGATTTATAAAACAATAGAGGTACTGGTAAGTACCAATAAGAATAATAAACGTAGGTAGAAACATTAGCGTTCGTGTCTGTGTTTCTTGCAGAAGTTTTTACTACATAATTATTAAACTATAGACCTAATTGAAAAGCCCTATTAAATATCTAAACGTCTAAAAAGTTCAAGGTGAGAATACTTAAGTCACCTTCGAATATCCTTTAAATAAAATATTCGATCTAAAGCACTAACATCGGACAGGTGTCGAAAGTTACGTAGGTAAAGTAATTTTGAACACAAAATAGACTACTTTCATTAATTAAATACTAAGTATATACTACGATGAGACGCGTCACATGTACATATCAATAATTTACGTAATTACAGAGTCCAAAGGCTACATTTAAGTATATTTGTAATTGAAAATCATATAAAAAGGGGAAGGAAAACATTATTGCTTCAGTCTAAGGAAAGCCTTCAGTACACATACATCAACCAATCAAAATGAGTTTCGCAAACAAAGTAGTGTTGGTAACTGGGGGAAGTTCTGGGATAGGGGCGGCTACTGCCATCCTTTTCTCTCAAGAAGGTGCTAATGTGGTTATCGTAGGAAGAAATGAGACAAAACTAGCTGATGTCGCCAAAAAGTGCTCAAATCCTTTGGTAATCAAAGCAGACGTAACAATCATGGAAGACGCTAAGAGAATAATCGACGAGACGATCCAAGCGTATGGCAAGATCGATGTCCTAGTAAACAACGCAGGAATAGTGAGATACGGAAGTATATTGGACGAGAACATTCTAGAAACCTTTGACGAGTTGATGGAGACAAACGTAAGAGCATTATTCCACGTAACTTACTTGGCTGTCCCACACATAATAGAAACGAAAGGAAATATAGTGAACATATCAAGTATTGCTGGCAAAATATACCCAGATTCCAGTCTAATGGCTTATGGAGTATCTAAAGCAGCAGTGGACCATTTAACTAGAGGGCTCGGTCTACAACTAGCGAAGTATGGAGTGAGAGTGAACAATATAAGTCCAGGGCCAACTGTATCTGATATTTTGATTAATGCTGGCAATGATATGCCTTGGGAAGCTCTTGCACCGGCTATGCCGTTAGGTAAAATCTGTGACGCTGAAGAAATAGCCGATATGATAATGTTTTTGGCCAGTGATAAAGCTAAGAGCATAACCGGCGTTGATTATGTGATTGATAATGGCAAGATGCTGACAAAGTAGATTTTTGATTGATGTATAAGGCAAGATTATTGCTTGTTAGTTTATCGTTTTGGTGTTGATATTAAATTAATTATGTTGTTAATGCAATTGTGTAATGTTTAAGCTTCTAGTAAAATTGTAGTTTGAAATTGAATTGTTGCTTTTTTTAGACTTAATGCACTGTATCTTTAATAATAAATGTGTCACATATGGAGTTGGTTTTTTATTATAATAGGGTAGATGACTAATTTTTATTTAAATGTCCGTCTGGTTGATTATTTTAAAACATTACACACGTATTTTTTTTACAGAAACGAATACTTTTGACAATATATTGATTTGAAATGTCGCATGACGTCACTTCTTTGTACATTTTATACGTAGAAATGACGTTGTAGCCCCCACTCCAAAATTTTAATCGTTATATCTAAGTATCATTTTATTCTAGAACAAAATAAAAAAATACGTGTCTAATATTTTTTCATTACCTAACTGACGGACTATTAGATATTTAATTTTCATACCCTGTCATCATACCTATTTCCCTTAGCTGTTTACTACGAACGACACTTACATATCATCACGATCGTTCATTTATTAGGTTATAGGATTTATTTTTTCCATGTATGTAATGAACCGCATGTATGTATGAACAGATAATAAGTTTTTATCTTATACCGCAATATCAGACTTAATAGCATAAGCTATAATTAAGAATGACGGATCACCTGATGGTAAGCGATCAGCGCCGCCAATGGGCACCCCTGTTAAAATTCATCCCCTTTCGTTTATACAAAAGTAGTCTCTAAACATCGGAAATAAGGTCTATAATGTAGTTAGTTAGTTAGTACACTGGTGACGGCTTGGGGATAAATGGGTAACACCAGAGAAGTTTTAGACGAGTTCCCTTACTCGAACATCGCTTTAACAAACACTGTTTTTGTTAGTTCAATTAAAAAAGACAATGTACATCAAAAATCAACATACCTCTTGTCTTACTCTGCTTGCTAGGCGACCCAGAGCTGGATCGTTTAGCAGGACTAAGACTAGAGCTGGTCTTCACACTCTTGGACGGGCTGCTGGCACTGAGGCTGGTGTCTGACGAACTGCACTGTCCATTACTGGCCAAAACCAGCGCACCAGTAGCTTGTTGTAGGGCTGCTGGTAATGTACTGGTGAGGTTCACGTTGTTTATAGGCATTTGAGTTGAAGTTTGACCGCCTGTGGAGAAAAAAATAAAGTTGGGAGTTAGTTTCTTTTTCTTCTTTGGCAATCGAGTATCCAAAACGGTGTCGTCGACTATACTGCCAGTGTCGAGTGGTGACGGAAAAACTTTGGGTATTAGTTAATAGATTGCTTATGAGCTAACGTCCTCTATTGACGAGTTGGTGTCGAAACACAAACTTATTAAATGTATAAAAACGGTTTCACTATTTGTTAATTTCTGGCGGATTTCGATAAAACAATACCAAAATATTGATTTTTGCTCAACAACTTGTCACAAAAGCCTTTAGACTGTATAACTTTGACACGACTTCCAAACCAAATAAAAATTGACAAAATTCTATTCCTAGAAAGCAAATCTTTACATAATAACAAACTATCTTTATTTTTTAATTAGAATTGAACAACTTACTGAACATGGGATTGACATTGACGAGCTGATGATGTGGAGTGTTATGCACGGTGACGCCCATGGACTCCTCGCCGTCCGACGAGTCGTCCGAGGAGTCGCCCGTGAATGGCATCGACCTTATCTGACTGGCACGCTGGAACAATGTAATAAAGATTAGTAAAAAACCTACAAAAATATGGACACTCAAGAAAAACACATACTATTGAGTCAATAAGATATTTTATACTTTATTCAAACGTTAGAGGAGACCTAGGAGACTGTTAACAGAGGTAAGTTGTCACAAGGACGATTTCTAAAGACAAGGATTTTTTTTAAGGAATTGTCTAATGACTTCTCCCTTCTCACGCCCGGGTGACGCGAGAGGAAGTGTCAGACTTTTAACCACCCCGTTCGTACTCCTACACTTCGAGCCGGAGCCCCGGTAACCCGTTAAGTTCTCCGCGGCAACGATAAGGATAGGTAGAGAAGATGCTGTATTAACTCGTCGAGTACCGTCATTATAGACACAATTATAGAACAATAGGTTGCGGTCACCGGTGACCGCTTGGTGTTTGACAGTTTAAAGACACCTTTGATGATTTCTTTCCACACGGAAAGAAATCATCTTTGTTACAACGCAACCTACATCTCCTCCTAATACGGAAAGAAAATATTGTAACATTATTTATTTAATTGTTTTTTTTTGTTTAAATACGTTGTCCCATACTAGGATTTTCTCCTGTGTCGTGGGTACGTTTACAAACATACAAGTTCACGTACACATCACATCCAGACCCGGAACAATCTGTAGATCACACAAAGCGTTGTTCCGTGCGGGAATTGAACCCGCGGCACGTTGCACGGTATCTAGTTGCCCAGCCGTGCAGTCAATCAGTCAGTTGTGTAATTAATATATTTTTATATTACATACTTGGTCAGTCTTGCCATAGTAATCATATTTAATTTGTTTACTG